CGAAACATACCAATTTGAAAAACTAGCGGAATGCATAGTCGATATTAAAAACTGGATGACGAGTAATTTCTTACTGCTAAATTCTGAAAAAACAGAGGTGTTAATTATAGGACCTAAAAACTCTGCATGTAATAACCTAGAACACTGTCTAAGACTTGATGGCTGCTGTGTCAATTCCTCGTCATCAGTTAGGAACCTAGGTGTGCTATATGATTGCAATCTTTCCTTAGAAAGGAAATCTTTCCATGCATTTATGACCTCAAGGTTAGATTATTGTAATGCTTTATTGGGTGGTTGTTCTGCACGCTTAATAAACAAACTCCAGCTGGTCCAAAATGCAGCAGCTAGAGTTCTTACTAGAACCAGGAAGTATGACCATATTAGCCCGGTTCTGTCAACACTGCACTGGCTACCTCTTAAACATCGTATAGATTTTTAAATCTTGCTTATTACTTATAAAGCCCTGAATGGTTTAGCACCTCAGTATTTGAACAAGCTCTTGTTACATTATAGTCCTCCACGTCCGCTGCGTTCTCAAAAATCTAGCAATTTTATAATACCTACAATATCAAAATCAACTGCTGGCGGAAGATCCTTTTCCTATTTAGCGCCCAAACTCTGGAATAACCTACCTAACATTGTTCGGGATATAAAACCCGATGTACTTGCTACATCGCTAGAAGAATGGCATCTACGCTAATATTAGTCTGTTTCTCTCTTATTCCAAGGTCACCGTAGCCACCAGATCCAGTCTGTATCCAAATCAGATGGTCACTGCAGTCACCCAGATCCAGAACATATCCAGACCAGATGGTGGATCAGCACCTAGAGAGGACCTCTACAGCCCTGAAAGTCAGCAGAAATCAGGACAACTAGACAACTAGATGAGCCCCAGATACAGATCCCCAGTAAAGACCTTGTCTCAGACGGCCAATGGGACGAGATCACAGGAGCCAGTTGAGTCCTCTGCACAGTGTGACTTTGCTGCAGCCTGGAATTGAACTGCTGGTTTTGTCTGGCCAGAGGAGAACTGGCCCCCCGACTGAGCCTGGTTTCTCCCAAGGTTTTTTCTCCATTCTGTCACCGATGTAGTTTTGTTTCCTTGCCGCTGTCGCCTCTGGCTTGCTTAGTTGGGGACACTTCATTTCCAGCGATATCGTTGACTTGATTGCACAGATACCATTTAAACTGAACTGAGCTGGATGATGACATCACTGAATTCAATGATGAACTGCCTTTAACTGGAAAATGAGTGTTTACTATTGTCACTTTGCAATATTGACACACTATTTTCCTAATTAATGTAGTACAGTTGCTTTGACACAATCTGTATTGTTAAAAGCGCTATATAAATAAAAGTGACTTGACTTGACTTGATTAAATAATTTAACTGTACTCTGATTTCGGAGTTGCAGTGATATTAGAGCTTTCGTGTGATCCGTATCGCACTAAAAACCCATCACTCATGAATCATCACATCTGTCTGCTGATCCCTAGTGATTGGCTAAAAGTGCAGCCGCAACATCAAAATCAGCACCAGTCGTCTTTGCAGTGTGCATGTGTGTTTAGTAACATCGTGATGACTGATTGGATACAGTATATGCACACTTGGGCTTGTTTGTTAACCAATTTATGTTTGAAAACCGCCAAACTGACCCTAAACCAGCCCAAATTTTGTCCACCCAAGCCAGTGTTTACCCAAAAGTGTGGATGTCGGTTTTGTTTATATTTAGCTTAGCCTATAATTTTAAATGACAGATGTCCTATTTATTTATTTTTCTCTGCGACACGTTTCCTACTGTGTTAACAGAAAAATGTCAAATGAATTTAGTATTTTGACAAAACGAAAAGAAATAGCTAATAGGCTATTTTTGTACAACCTACATTTTTCTTTTTTTCTCTCTTCGACACTTTTTCCTATTGTGTTGTAAATGTTAAACGAATTGTATCCTGACAAGACGAATAAAAATAAGTACAGTTTGTACACCTTTTTCCTACACAGCAAAATCCCCGGTGTTAAATTAACAATGTGTCCACACTACAGAGTGTTAAAAGTAACACTGAAGCAGTGTTAAAGTTAATGAGGTAATTAAGAGATTCATTTTGACACATCACAGTGATGATTGACCATTATTGAAGACACCTGATGTCAACAAGCAAAATCACCAAAGAACAAATTTTGAAGTCACCATTATAGTGGTCAGTGTTTACTTTAGTTGGGCTCTTGACCCTCTTTTTAATCTTACATTTTATTTGTCTGTTATAACTGAATTATAACAGCCAGACTTTTACAAAGAACAAAAGTTAT